CCTTGCAAATATTGCTACTGTCCTGACTTTACAGGTAAGACTTTAGAGAATAATGAACTGGTAAGAAATGGATTTGGAACGTGAACTTTATCATTTGCAGCAAATGCTGCCAGTTATTTTTCTCGAAGTGATTTATTTTCAAGAAAATGCTTGATAAATACTCAAATCTGTAAAACCAAATGTTTTTCTTAGTTGATCTTTCAGGTAAAGATAGTGTTAAGAAACAACTACCATATGTTCTTGTGTATAAGCCTAGATTTTTTTTTCCCCCAGCATATTTTCAATGCAGTTTTTGTGGCAAAATTAGGTGCTTCGGCTGATATTCGGGTTGGCTTATACTCGAGTATCTATGGTAGTTCAGCAACTCAAACACGCACCCTTGTGTACTTCCCAGCATGTCACATAAATATTAAAATGACAGGTACCCGGAGTCAACATTTGATCGAATTCTGTTTGACTGCTTTCTTGGATGAGCACATTCTAATTCATTGTTCTTGTTGTGCGCACATTGAGGTGGAGAATGCAATGACTAGTCCTGTTGATGCCACAGCCTTGATTCACACTCAGTTTTAAGACTAATGGTGCCGTTGTTTCTGCACCATCAGTGTCAGCGTCCACACACCGACAAACGAGAACCCCTAGTTCCATAATCAAATAGGGGTCCCCTGGGCCTGTGGAGCACAGTATGACAATCACTGCCCGCAGGCGAATGTGGGCGGGGAGAGGGGTTGATGACTTGATCAGATACATGGAGTCAAAAGAAACTCCAGACTTAACTTATGCCTTGTCTTCGCTTACGGTTCAAAAGGAAATAAGTGCAGATGTGAGGTCAGTGGGGAAAGGGCGCTTCTACAGAAAGGCCCTGTTTCTTTGGGCTTCCGTGGGCTTGGAAAAATTCTGAATGTTTCTTTATGCATCGTGGTGCAAGTGATGCCTGAAAGGAAAGCCTATGTGCTTGCCAAAGGTGGCAGAGAGAAGTATATGGGGGTGCCAGCAGGAGGCCCCAAAGCAGGAGCCCGCTGGGAGATGAAGGAACATACCCCAGGATCAACAGTCCCCGAAACAGCGCTGGAGGACCAGTAACTGTTGTCGCCCAGTCGATTCTGACTCACGGAGCCAAACCCTTGGGGGTTAGAGGAGAGGTGAGCTGCAGCGCACTTGTCGATGGCTGACGTTCTCCAAGGAGATTGCCGAGCCTTTCTCCTGAGTTGCCTCTGGGTGGACTGAACCCTCCAGTCTTCTGCGTGGCAGCTGAACGCATTAACCAGTTGCACCCTTCACAGGGGAAGCTACCCTGACGGGTGAACACTAAACTTAGAACTGTCCTATCAAGATCATCAGAAATAACTTGACTGGACTCTGCGAGGCCAGCTGAGGCTCCACTGAATGCCTGTTCTGGAGGGAAAAGAAGTAGCTCAATAGCTAGGCGGGTTCTCATGGAGAGTTTACGTTTCTATCTGACTCTCACGCCTTGTGGCTGCCTTCACGGGTGATATATTACCCCTGCTCTGTACACAGACACGTAACTGCCACAGCCTCTTCTCCGTTATCTTCCCTTTGTCGCTCTCCCAGCCCCGGCACCTGTGTGTTCAAATCCCAGCCCACTCAGGATGGGAAAGGGATGCTCTTCAAAATCATCTTTCTAATGTTGGGGAAATGAGGACATTCTGTGCCGACAAGGAAGCTACTTAATTATACAAGCCTTGTCACTGAAAAAAAAAATCTAAATAATGAGCTAGAATGCAATGCTTTCTTTGTTGAATCAAAAAAAATTAACAAGCCTTTATCGAGGGCTTACTGTGCTCAAGAATCATGATACTCAAATGACATAAACCATCACTGGAACACTGCATGACACGGCAGAAGTTTTGTTTTCCTTAAAGAACAGGATGTTGCTGAGTTAACTCCAAGTCATCCAGAAGAGCGACTCATTGCTCTACAAAGAAAAGAGCACAAGAAAATGAGGGTGTTTTTAGTTAAAGGAATGGAGAACTCACACTCATTGTCTCCCTACCCATTTGTTGACACCCTTTTGGAAACTCCATTAATTCAACTGAACCATCTGATGAGGTTTAAGTCCCTCATCAGATAAATTTTTATCTGATTGAATCCCTCATTTAAATGTATATTTTTAAAAATCAAAAAACAAAAAGCACAACTCATTGCTGTTGAGTTGATTCCTACCCATAGTGACCCAAAATCGTAAATCTTCACAGGAGCAGACAGCTTCATCTTCCTCCCATGGGAGCAGCTAGTGGGTTTGAACCACTGGCTTTATGGTTAGCAGTCCATTACCTAACCCACAGCACCACCAGGACTCTAAACGTCAGAAGAAATGGCAAATGCTCATTTGTTCACAGTCTCCTGCTGAAAGAGGATCTGTGGCCACATCACATCTCTAGGTCTGACTCACTGAAGCCTGACTTGCAGGCTCCAGAACTCGCTAAGAACAAGCATCAGACATTAGCAGAAGCGACACACTCGCATGGGCACTCTGGTGGTGCACTGGTGAAGCATCGGACCGGATACTTCCGAGTTGGCGAGTTGGTCGTTGTTAGC